AAACACAGCAGTATCCATAATTACTGTGCTTAAAGATTAGTTAGTTAGAGAGAAGTATGGAGAAAAATGTAGGTAAGGATGTGAGGAGATAATACCAGAAAGATTTGCCAAAAGAGAAATGGAAATGTGGCACGGAACATGGGAAGAGGGAGTTGACAGGCCTGCACGTGAGATGCCGTCTGCAGATTACAGATGGTGACTGCCTTCAGGAGGCCCATATTACAAATGTGCAGGCTGCCACAGCCAGTCATGGAAACCCAGCAAGGTCCTCGGGACCTCTGCACGCTCTGCAGGCCAAGTGTCCCATCTCCTCCCCAATGTCACCATGGTGTTCCAGATTCTTAATACTGAGATGATGGTAATAGTTGCCCAAGTGGGGCCCCTGCCTGCAAATTCTTTTCTCTGCCTCTCAATTTACTCTACATGCTGATGCTATGATCTGAATTTCCTTTGCATATAGCAAGAACCAAGAAAATGTGAGTGAATGCAATGACAAAGAAATGAATAGGGGGGGAAATTCTCAAAGTTACATAATCACTATGGCCTTCATGAATATTTTTTTCACTGATGATTTATTTTTAAAAACTTATGCAGAAAAAAATTATTCTACCAGAACCAAGAAGCCTTGTAAGAGAAGGGGTGGGGAGCAGTGGAGGTCATTTTGAGATACATAAGATCCCTCCCCTCTCCCCCCCACACACAAAAAAAAGCCTACTTTTCTTAAAACTTAACATTAAGGGACTTTTGAAGTGCACACACACACACACGCACACACACAATTTTCAAAATTTAATTTCAGAAATGGTATTTTGTAGTCTGCTCTTCACAGAAAGCTAGAAATAATACAGAAGTAGAAGTTTATTCAAATTATAGAATGTGAAAGTCTCAACATATGCTGATTAAATTCTAAGCAGCCAGTTCATATGCTAAAATGCCAAAAAATGACACCAATGAAGATCACCAATGATTTTACAGAATCACTCAAATCATAAACTATAATTTCCCATAAGGTAAACATGCATCAAAAATATAAATGTTTTACAATGCAATTTCATTGTTGAAATCATTTTGTGCGCACAGTTATTCTGTTGGAAAAAGCATGTTTATATTTTCATTTATAATTTAGCAATTGTAGTTTGTATAAAGTATATCAATTTAAGATTTGTTTAATTCTTTCTGTAATGGCATTATCACATTTTTTTATTTCTAGTAGATATCTGAAGTTTATAATTAGCTCTTAAATTCATTTAGAACAATCTCAACATGGTTTTAAAAAGTCTCCTGGGATCCAACATCATTTGGATAATTTGGGAAAAGTTCAAAATGTTAAAATAATGTAAAAATAAAATTTGTGAAATGGGAATGAAAATGAATTAAGCCCTTGATTTTTCCTGTGGGAAATAATCTTAATTTTATGGGGAAAAAAATGCTGGTGATACTTCAGGTAACAGTTTCAGCAAAATTTTTTTTAAAGGAGTCTGTAAGATACAGTAAGTTGGACTATACAATCAGTAAACAGTTCAGATCAGTTTGAACTCAGTAACCATCAAGGTCGTTGTGTAAATCTGCTTATGAATAAATTACAGTTTTCATGTCAATAAAAAATCAGAGCCTCAGAATCATCTTGACAGCTGTGCAGCATTTCACACATTCGTATTTTCTTTTTGACATTTTAAAATTAAATTTACTGGGGTGACATTGCTTAATAAAATTATATAAGTTTTAAGTGTACAATTCTGTGATACATCATCTGTATATTGCACTGTGTGTCTACCACCCAAAGTCAAATCTTCTTCCGTTACCATATATTTGATCCCCTTTACTATTTACTACCCTCCCCACCTCACTCTCCCTGCTAACCACCATGCTGTTGTCTGTGTCTATGAGTTTTTTTCTTATTTGTTCATTCGTTGTTTTCAGTTTTATATCCCACGTATGAGTGAAAGCATATGGTCCTTGCCTTTTTTTCTGTCTGATTTATTTTGCTTAGCATAATATTCTCAAGGTCCATCCATGTTGTCACAAATGGCAGTGTTTCATCTTTCCTTATGGCTGAGCCGTATTCCTTTTACACAATTGATTTTTAGTGATGAATTATCAGATGGCATTAACTGCTAGTTTTTATTTTTCAAATGAGAAACTGTGCTCCCTGTCCCTGCAGACTGTTCATGGTTCAGCAGGCTCCAATGCCAGGTCAGGAGGGACTTTCACTTTTATTGTGTGCTTCTCTATGTAACCTTTACTTCAACTTCTGTTCCTTGCAGAAGTTGAGGTAATTTTTCGTAAGACGGATTTTTATTATTGTTCATGATACTCATGCATTGTCTTTAACTCATAAACACCATGTTTAAGGTGGGAGTAAGCAGACATATTCTGTAAAGGGATGGATAGTAAATACGTTAGTCTTTGCAACCATATGGTCCCTGCAACAACTCTCAATTCTGCAGGTATAGTGCAAACACAGCTCTACATAAACAATGTGCATGGGTGTGTTTCAATAAAACTTTACTTACAAGGACATGCAGCAGGAAGAACTAGGCCATAGTTTGCTGACCCCTGACCTAAGGGAGTATCTTTGTGTAACAGCAGGGAGAGAAGAGTTTCGAGGACTTAAGAAATATCAACCTCTCTTGCCCTATAATTCATTAAGTTTCAAAGGCTCCAGGGATAAGTATTACAACAAAATGAAGTGCTACAGAAACCCGATTTGCCTTCACTGGTTGCTTTTATAATAAGTCAGTGTTGACGGAACAGTTCCTTTGCTCAGCAGTCTTCTACTGAGCCTGATGGTGCAGCCAACACTCAGTTGGCAATGGGTGTGATACAGTGTAGACTAAGCCTTGATCCCTACAAACTACACCTCTGGAAAGAGGAGATATTTCAGGCTTTTAGATTAAAAATTGGTTCTCAGATAATGTTCAGTTTGTCCCCACCACATCAGCCATTTGTTCGTGCTGCCACAACCAACACTGTTCCTTCCTAACTTGGTCCAGGAGAAGGTGGACTATGCTCTCATCCCACCGCTCCCACCCCTGGGACTTTAGAAGTCAGTGTTTGCTTTTGCTCACTTGATTTTTGCTTAAGAAACGGAGAGTCAAGTACCGCTGCCCTGTGTCCTACTTCTTTATTTTGAGGTTGGGGAAGGGCTGGGTTTCAATTCCTGTATCTTGCTGCAGTAACAAGCTGTGCAGCCATTTCATTTCCCCTGGGGAGGCAGCTGAGGTAGATAGAAGTGTATTTTAAAACTCCACTCTTTAAAACTCCTGCTTCTGGAGAACAGAGCACACAGACTGAAAAGGAAAGAGCAGTAGCAGCAATTTAAACATTCTTCCAGGGCACCACCGTCGCTGAACTCTAAAAGTAACTATACAGATATATTTTTCAATGCTTCATTCCTGCTTCTGAACAGATTTCAAGCAAATATTTCTAATTAATGGTATTATCAACTGTAACAGCTGATCCTATATAATAAAACCCTAATATGCAAATTGACTGAATGAAAGAACGGCCCGTGGCTGACATGCACTGACCACCAGGGGGCAGATGCTCAACACAGGAGCTGCCCCTTGGTGGTCAGTGTGCTCCCACAGTGGGAGCTCCGCTCAGCCAGAAGCCAGGCCCAAGGCTGGAGAGCGCAGCAGTGGTGGCAGGAGCCTCTCCTGCCTCCACTGCAGGCCACCGGGCAGTAAGGAGCGAGGGATCCCAGACTGTGCAGGCCGGGCTGAAGGACTCCCCGGCACTGAGGGGCTCCCCAAATGCACGAAATGCGTGCATCAGGCCTCTAGTTAAATCATAAGAATTTATTGAAGGACTAGGACTTAAATTCACCACATTCAGGTTAACTATGTCTTAAAATTTGAAGATGAGAATTATTATTTCATACACTGTGAATCTATGGCTCTAAAATTCATGGTAATTCAGTAAACTAGTTGAACTCTGAATTCCTTGGAAGATGTAGTAATTAACATTTTGAAACAATAGGATTTACTCTACTTGAACTTTATGCAACCAGTAATTTTTGTAACTTTTAAACAATGATGGTTATGACAGTTTAGGCCATTCATTGTGACCAAATTTGTGTGCATCTTTCTAGGGAACTATTTATAATACTAGAGGCCCAGTGCACGGATTCGTGTACCGGTGGGGTCCCACGGCCTGGCCTGTGCCCTCTCGCAATCTGGGACCCCTTGGAGGATGTCTGACTGCTGGTTTTGGCCCTATCCCTGCAGGCCAGGATAAGGGACCCCACTGATGCATGAATTCGTGCACCAGGCCTCTAGTATGCATGTAAGATGTTTGGTTAATCTCCTCCTGCCCTCCCCTCTCCCCCCTTCTCTCTGAGATGCATCTGTCTGTTCCATGTTTCCATGCCTGTGCGTTGAGCATCTGCCTCCTGGTGGTCAGTGTGTGTCATAGCTACTGATCAAATGATGGAACGGTCTAACGGTTGAACAGTTGAACGATTGCTTAGGCTTTTATATATATAGATTTCCTAGGTGGGAAATTATATATCCACTTTATTCTTTGGTAATATGTTACATTTTTCAGAATTCTTCCTCATTGGTAGGATACCCTATGTCTAAATGATACACCATGCCCCTGTAAATCTATCATCAAATAAAAGAATGAAATTATCAGATTACAAAATTCCTTAGAAGACTTCGCATTTAGAACTTTTATGTATGAAAGCATATGCCATAGATACTGACCTGTTAAACAGATTAAGCTGGGACACAGCTCAATAGTTGTGCTGTTAAAATTGGCTTTAGTGTAGAAGTGTAGTAGTGTTAATGCCTCCTAACATGACTTAAGAGTCGAGCAAAGACTGTGCAAATGAAAGAAAATTAATATCGGTCATAGATGCAGTTCTAGTATCAAGTTGGAATGAAACGGCCATGCCTTCTAAAGCTTAGGGTGCAGTTCCTAATACAGCCTGGGATGAACGAGGGAGGAAATCCATTGGTGGGAGATCTCACCCTGGCCGCTGTGTCCTTCCCCAGGATCTGTCACTGCGAAGGGGATGAAGAGAGCCCCCTCATCACACCCTGTCGCTGCACGGGAACCCTGCGCTTTGTCCACCAGTCCTGCCTCCATCAGTGGATCAAGAGCTCAGACACACGCTGCTGTGAGCTCTGCAAGTATGACTTCATAATGGAGACCAAGCTCAAACCCCTCCGGAAGGTACAGTATTTGTAGGAGTTGTTTTGGAGGAGAGAACTGGTAAAGCTGGCTTGTTTTAAAAATCCAATTGTTTCCCCAGTAAGATTTTGCTAATATGCTAATATCCATGAAGAGTACATGCCTCGTGTGGGAGTCAGAATGTAAAATGCAGCCAAGTGTTTGCAGATAATGCTTCCTTCTTCTCTGTTTTTTATATTCCAGAGCCTCTGATTTTTACATCACTCTTCAAACTAAGAAAAAAAAATAGTGTGTGTATGAATGTTTATTCGTATATGTGCCTGTATGGATATGTATATATGTGCGCATATATATATGTGTGTGTGTGTATGTACATGTATGTGTGTGCATATATACATATGCAAAATATTCTTGTAATTCAATGTAAATGAATTAATGGGAATCAATGATTTTATTAAATTAAAATCAACATTTTATTTACTGATGTCGATTCCCAAGAAGGTTATATAATAGATTACATTAAATAATATGAACTTATCGAATTTCTTGAAAGTCAGGCATTAAGCTAATAGAAGAGAATGATTTTTTTTATAAGGTGTGGACTCTTCTGTGTTTATCTTTATTTGGGGATTTGGTGTGGAGGTTCACATATAATTAGAGTATATAGAAAAAGTATTATTTTCCATAATGTTCACCAAACTCTAAGACAGAGGTAAGTATACTTTTACCTATAAATTTAATCCTCAAGTTCCTCATTTATGTTATATTTTTCTAAAGAATAAATAATTATATGAGTAAAATATAAAATTAACATCTCACTCAAAGCTAGTGGAGGAAATCTTGTAGAGGATGCAAAGAAAAATGAACTTCATGTAATTCATGCTTGATGGCTGGGCCCCTGGATTGTTGCACGGAACATATTCATCTTTTTACCCCACTGCAGCCTGACATATCTGGATGCCTCGATTTCCAAATGAGAGTATAGAGACTGCGATTTAAATAATGAATCTGCCTAGAGCTGCTTTTTTATTTGAATTAAATGCAAAGAAAAAGTGTATAAAAAGAACATTGCTTAGAAATGAACATGATGGGTTTGGAGATGAGCAGAGATGTAAAGCAAACAAGAATATTCCAATAGTCATCTGACCGGTGGCTGGCCAGCTCAAGTCTTCATTAAAAATCTGTAAATTATGGCGAGAGAGAATAGCATCCCCTGCCTTTGTGGGAGCCTTAATTTTAAAATTCTGCAAGTGGTTTAGAAATGTCAAAACTGAGGCACAAAATGCCTCTGGGAAACCCGTTGTCTTTTTTTAACATCTGGGGTGACCTGAGTGCAAAAAGATGACACTATGTTCCTCTGGTCCCAGAGCAATCAAATGACAGAAACAGAAATGGGCCCTTACTCCTTGCCCTTTGCTTTATCCACTGAACAGATGCTGTGTGTTGTCTGGAGAAGCTACATGACACATTGTGCTCCATGATTCTGTAAATTTCTCTTCTGACCCTCCAGGGAACTACAAATTATTTCATAGCATCTGTATATTTCTCCATGTTTTTTTTTTCTTAACCTACATCTATATAAAATTTTCATTTCAACTTTGTCAAACATAACATTTCAATTTGAAAGTTACAATCTAGAATAATAAAATATTCACATTTTATCTTCTTTATACTGTCTACCCTCTCCCCCATTTTGTATAATAAACAATACATGATGCTATATATAACTTGAAAAGTATTCTTATTCTACCTTCATCTTTTATAGAATCATCCCTTATATACAACTCTGATCCTTTCTTAATATTTTATTAGCAATAATTTACAACCCCATCAGGAAATTCTATTTTTGCCTCAACTAACCTGTTTACAAACTAGAGAAATGCAGTGAATACATCTACCCTTTTTAATGAATATGAATATTCATTACATACTAAAGTAATATATTCTTAGTAATGAATATGTTGTGGCAACCTACTGGGCACCTACTATCTGTTGATTAATGAAATATCCTAGTTTTCTTATAAATATTTCCTGTGAGTGGTCATAAATATTAATGAAGGACAGCATGTCAACATCCTTCATTTTTAATAGCATTTATATATCTACAGAGGATGTTAGAATCTCATCCGGAGGTTGCTTCCTAACAGCCCACTGATGTGTTTTATTTGATCCACAAAGATTAAAATTTGAATTAATTACCAATATTTAAATAGGTGATTATATTATGTAAAATTCTACACATAGGCATTTGAAAATCACAGTATCTGGTTTTACTGGAACCATATTTCCATAGGACAACAACCTGGGAGCTAGATGATGGCTAGTCCTTTCAAAAGGCTATTTGCCTTTAAGTTCTCCACATTCCTCAGCCCTTTCTCTTTTTTCAATCCTGAGACTTTGTGCAGTCTCCACTCATCTGAGTACTCTGTGGTTCTAGTGAAGGTATTTGAATTTTCAACTCCTGGTCTAACACATGACTGCTAGACATACATTCTATTCCTACCTCTGTGGTTTATGGGTTAAAAACTTAGAAAAAGTATTTCAAACTTTCACTTTCTTCCTTAAACCTATGGGGCACTGGGATAATACTTAAACGGCAGTATCCAAAATAAATTTTCGGATTCTCAGGTGGTACAAACTATATAGATTTGAGGCATTTCAAAACTTTTCTAGATGGTTTGTTTTGATGGCACTAAGATTCAGCAACAGTTTTCTTTTGGTAGTTTTTAAGTGGTCGTCAAGAATGACAGGCATAGCTCTAGCCGGTTTTGCTCAGTGGATAGAGCGTCGGCCTGCGGACTGAAGGGTCCCAGGTTCGATTCTGGTCAAGGGCACATGCCTGGGTGGCGGGCTTGATCCCCAATGAGGGAGCGTGCAGGAGGCAGCCAATCAATGATTCTCTCTCATCATTGATGTTTCTATCTTTCTCTCCCTCTCCCTTCCTCTCTGAAATCAATAAAAATATATTTTTTTAAAAAAAAGAATGACAGGCATAATAACCCGTGGACACAGACAATGGGGTGGTGAGGGCCTGGGGTCGAGGGGGGGGTCAGGAGCAGGCTGGAAGAGGTTAATCACGGGGGAGGAGGATCTATTTTCAACAATGAAGATTTTTTTAAAAAAAGATGACAGGTATAGCATTTGGTTAGAATATATTCGAAATAATCCAATTAATTGCTCTTAATTCAGTAATTTTATTACAGCTTATAACATTCTAAAGACCAATCACATGAAACAATTACTTTAGCTAATGATTCTGAATTTCTAACATTAGCCAATGGAAGTGGGATATTCTGTTGAGATGAAATAGCTTCTTAAAATAGAAAGGTGTGAAGCTTCATAATCTGATGAACATTGTTGCTTAATAGTTAGTCTCTAAAGATATCAGCAAAATCTTACTTCATTAATTGCTAATAATACTACATGAAAAGCTATAGTTAGTAAATTCCTCAAGGTATGTTAATGTTTCCAGACAAAAACCTTTAAAATATAAATTAAATTAAGAGCTTATTTGAGAAAAAAGCAATTTCTATCATCTTTAAGTCAGTAACTCAGCTACTTATATAACATTTAAGAAACGTCCCATTGCCCTAGCTGGTTTGGCTCAGTGGATAGAGCATCAGCCTGCAGACTGAAGGGTCCTGGTTCAATTCTGAACATGCCCAGGTTGCAGGCTCGATTCATAGTAGAGGGTGTGCAGGAGGCAGCCAATCAATAATTCTCTTTCATCATTGATGTTTCTATCTCTCTCTCCCTTTCCCTTTCTCTCTGAAATCAATATAAACATATTTTTTAAAAAGAGAAAAAAAAGTCTCATTAATCTACTGAGTTACCTGCATCAGAAATAATTCCTAGGGCCAAGAAAAAAAAAAGCCAAAAATATAGCAAGCAGAATGACAACTCAATGAAATTTCAAAATGGACACAGTATCAGTTGGGAAGCATAAACTAACTAGAGGCCCAGTGCATGAAATTTGTGTGGGGGGGTGGGGGAGGGGGATCCCCTCAGCCCAGCCTGCACCCTCTCCAATCTGGTACCCCTCGGGGGATGTCTGACTGCCGGTTTAGGCCCGATCCCCAGGATCAGACCTACACCAACAGTTGGACATCCCTCTCACAATCCGGGACCACTGACTCATAACTGCTCACCTGCCTGCCTGCCTGATCACCCCTAACTGCCTCCCCTGCCTGCCTGGTCACCCCCAACTGCCCCCCCCCCCGCTGGCCTAGTCACCCCCAACTACCCCACACAGTTGGCCTGGTCACCCTAACTGCCCCCCACAGCCTGGTCACTCCTCACTGCCCCCCCTGCCACCTGGTCACCCCCAACTCCCTCCCCTGCAAGCCTGGTCGCCCCACGCTGCCTGCTGTTTGGTCGTTTGGTCACCCCTCACTAAGCCCCCTGCCTGCCTGGTCGCTCCACGCAGCCTGTTGGGTTGTCCGTTCGGTTGCGATGGTCACTTAGGCTTTTATATATATCAGATATCCTGTTCTGAAGTTGAAGAATTGCATAGGGCTCAGGTTTGAATCACTCCTGAGTAGGAGAAACCAGCTGCTGGATTTGTAGCTAAGCTTGAAGATAGCAAATGCTACTGACAATTTATGTCCTCCCCTAAAATGTTCCTTTACATAGCTTTCCATATACAACTATTTGACAAATATATACCACAAATACTCAACTCTATGTATTCATTTATACCTTGTCTCATTTCTACAGATAAAATGAGGCAGTGAATCAATTACCTTTGCTTTAGTAACAATTTGGTTAAGCCATATGCACTTGTCATTTTTGCAAATCAAAAATAATTGAATATTGGAAAGCTCATAATAGATAAGTTCTGTGTGAACTTATTATACCAAATAAAAAGGAATAATCATTTTGGTATTTGTACATTTCCACCATAATGACTTACGGTGATTTAGTTACAATATCTTTTTTTTAATAAAGAACTGTACATGGCAAATACTATGTTAATTCCTTCCTTTCCTAATTTGATGTAGCATCCCATCTTTTAAAAGAACCAAGAGCCTATATAAGCTGCT